AGCCCCGCTCCTGGTGGGAGGACTCTGGATGCCGGCGTGGCTGACTCAGCCTTTGGCCCTCGGAAAAGCTTTTGTCTGGGCTGCGCAGTGAGTGTGAGGCAGGGAAGGGGCCTGGCTGGGGCTGGGGCAGCTCCGTCCCCGCTGCCCGGGGTCCGCTGAGCCCCCTGTCCCTCTGTCCCTGCAGTCCTGCACATTCTCGGAGGATGACAGTGTGTCCATCCGGAGCCGGGCGGCCTCCTGTGCCACGGACAGCACCTCTGAGGACGCCCTCTCCATCCGCTCCGAGATGATCCAGCGGAAAGGTACCCGGCTGGGCGGCCGTGGGACAGGGGGGACACCAGGCAAGGGGGTGCAAGGGGGGTCGGAGCTCATGGCAGGAGAGCTGGGCTTTGCCTTGGCCTGGCCAAGAGCCAGCGCAGGGATTTGGGGGCCCTTGGGAGAGATGAGAGCAACTCCGGCTGAGTCAGAGCGCTGGGGCTGGGCGAGAGGGATGGACAGACAGACACTGTCTCCTCCCTGCTGCTGGTGCCTTTTCGGGCTGTTCTTTGCCTAAGCCTGGCTCGTCCCGGAGCATCTCTGTCAGTGAGGGGGTACTGGGGACATTGGGGTCACCCTGGCCAGGGCCCCCCTCACACCTGCTGGACCTGCTCACACCTCTTGTAGGTTCCACCTTCCGACCGCACGACTCCTTTCCCAAATCCTCGGAAAGGGCTGGCAAGAAGAGGAAGGACAGGAGGACGACAGTGCTGGGCATCCCCCAACATGTCCATAAGGAGCTGGGTAAGCATCAGGGGTAGGGGGGATTGTTAGGGTCTGGTCTCGTTGCCCAAGCTCCATTTGCCTTGGCTCGGAGTGTCTGCCTTGGGATCACGCTGAGGTCATCTCTCCCTGCTCCCAGGTCTCAGGAACAGCCACGAAGCCAAGGGCCATCCCGGGGCTGATGGGCGAGGGCCGGCGGGGCGCGGGGGCAGCCAGGCAGCACAGCCCTTGCTGAACGGCGGGCAGGTCTCGGGCGACGCCGTCCGCATCCCCACCATCGACGGGAAGCTGCAGCCTCTGGCTGTGCCCGGCGGCGCCCGCGTCTGCCTGGGAGCCTTGGAGGAGGCAGACGCGGCCCTACAGAAGCACATCAACAGGGTTTACTACGACGACACGTTGGTGGGGAGGAAGACAGCAGCCAAGCTGTCGCCCATGCTAAGGCCGAAGTCGCTGGCCGTGCCGGGCATGACCACCTACGCCAACCACCCGGAGGTGGTGATAGGCCCCGTCATGTCCATCTCGCCCCAGGGCACTTACATGTCCAAGATCATCCCCAACGCCATCCTGCCGCCCATGGTGGACGTGGTGGCCCTGACGCGGAGCAGCGTGCGGACGCTGAGCCGCTGCAGCCTCGTGTCGTCCAGCCCGGCCTCGGTGCGATCCCTCTCCCGCTTCTCCGAGCGCAGCGCCCGCAGCCGCGAGCCCTCCTCCTCCAGCGACAACTGGAGCCACTCGCAGTCCACGGAGACCATCGTCTCCAACAGCTCCACCATCTCCTCCCAGGGCGGCTGCGACCACCGGCAGCATGAGGCGGGGCCGCACAGCGAGGTGGACGCTGCGGCTCGCTCCGACACCGACCAGATCAGTGTCTACAGCTCTGCCAGCTTCGCCAGCTCCTGCTCCAAGCCCCCTGCCGGCCTCACACCTGTGGCCTCGCTGGCTGTGGGGAGCAGCAGTGGCCGGGTGTCCCCTGCCTACAGCATGAGCAGCCAGGCGGACGGCTCGGACACGGGCAGCCTGGCCAGCGAGCGCTCCTCCGCCCGCAGCGTCTCCCTCAGGAAGATGAAGAAGCCCCCGGCCCCCCCTCGCAGGACCTACTCGCTGCACCAAAAGGATGATGGGGAGCCCAAGGTGCTGGGGCTGCCTCCCAAGCCTGACCGGCGGCCTCAGCGGGAGAGCAGCGTGCCCTGGTCCCCACGCCCCGAGCCCTTCAGCCCCACGACCGAGGATGAGGTGTTCTCCCCATCGTCGCTGAGCGAGACCAGCAGCCTCCATTCCGAGAGCCTGGCTGGGGCCAGCTCCCCCGAGGCCTCGCGGGGCCGCCCCGGGGTCACTGTGGTGCTGAGGGAGCCCCAAGCTCAGCCCAAGTGGAGCTGCCCGGATGGGTCTGACCGCACCATGTCCCCCTCCAGCGGCTACTCCAGCCAGAGCGGGACGCCCACACTGCCCACCAAGGGGCTGGGACCCCCATCTGTGTCCCCAGGCAAGTCTCAGCTCCAGAAGCCAGACCGGGTCTGCTCCCTTCAGTCGCCTGCGCTCTCCGTGTCCTCCTCCCTCACCTCCATCTCTTCCTCGGCCTCTGACCCGACGCCCCCCGAGGCGCTGACCTGCCGCTCGGACCGGTTCATCATCCCGCCGCACCCCAAGGTTCCCGCTCCCTTCTCCCCGCCACCCACCAAGCCCCAGCAGCCCTCAGCCCCCACCGGCCCCCTCCTGCCCTCACCAGACTCCTCAGCGCCCAACACTGCCTGCCCGGAGCCCGGGGCCAAGCTCAGCGGCAAATCTCCACCTCCATCGCCGCCTCCTGCCTACCACCCGCCTCCCCCGCCAGCCAAGAAGACGGAGGGGAGCCCCCAGACCACCGGGGAGCCCCCCGCCGACACCGCCTGGCCCCCGCCACCGCCGCCGGCTCCCGAGGAACACGACCTGTCCATGGCAGACTTCCCCCCTCCGGATGAATCCTATCTCTCCAGCCTGCCCGATGCCACCTCGGCTCCGGCGGACGGGCAGAAAGCAACACCGAGCCCAGGGGCTGCATCTTCACCACCCTCGTGTAGCCAACAGCAAGTCCCACCGGCTGGGGCACCGCAGCCCCCGTGTCCCGCCGAGCCCCTTCCCGAGGCCTCCGTGCCGCCACCGCCGCCGCCTCTCCCGCCACCCTCGGCTCTGGCTCTGCCACCCCAAATCAGCCTTAAGAAGGCGGCCAACGGCCCACGGGCGGACGCCAGGAAGGAGCCGGTGTCGCGGAGCAAGAGCAGCCCCGTGCCCAAGGAGGACGCCAGCCTGCCCATCGTCACGCCCTCGCTGCTGCAGATGGTGCGGCTGCGCTCCGTCAGCGTGGAGCCGCCGGCCGGGGCCGAGGAGCGCCCGGCCCCGCAGAAGCCCGTCCGCCGGTCCCTGTCCACGCGGCAGCCCCCTCCTGCCAAAGACACGGTGCCTTCCAACCCGCTCCACCACGCCGTGCACCTCAAGGCGGCCGCCTTGGCCTCCGGCGGGGCCGCAGAGAAGCCGCCCGGCGGCCAAGCGGCCCAGCCCGGGGGGCCCCCCGAGGATGGGCAGCTCTCCCCTAGGAACAAGTCTGCGGCCTCCACCGCCAGCTTCATCTTCGCCAAGAGCTCCAGGAAGGTGGTGATCGAGACGGCCTCGTCCCCCGAGGCACAGGCTGACCTGAAGAGGAACTTGGTGGCCGAGCTGATGAATTTCTCGGGGCAGCGCTCGGCGGCTCCGGCGGCTGCCCCGCAGGGCCCTGGCAAGGCACAAGCCCACCGAAAACCCGGCAAGGTCCCCCCTCCGGTAGCCAAGAAGCCTTCGCTGGGCCCAGGGCCGGCTCCTTCCCCACTGAGCCCAAAGGCAGCAGGGGCAGAGGCGCTGGGCTCCCCGGTGCCGGACGGGAACGCCGCGGCGGTGCCAGCGGACGAGAGCAGGACTAAGAGCGAGCTGGCAGGGACAGCGGCCACGGGGACAGAGAGGAGGGACACCACAGAGCCGCCAGCTCAGAGCCTCCCTGCACAAGGTACGTGGGATGGGAACCTGGTTCAGGAACGCTGCTGCTGTGGGTGCTCAGGATCCTGAGCTGTACATTCCCAGGCTGTACATTCCCGAGCTATAGGCTCCCAGTGCAGCAGCTGGGCCGTGTTGTGGCTGGGGTGGCACTGGGACAGCAGGGAGAGCCTGGTAGGGCTGTGGGAAGCGGGGATTCGGGGTGGCTGACGGGCTCTTCCCTCCTGCCTTGCAGATGGACGAGGAGAGACGGCCTGAAGGACAATGCTGCAGGACTGGTGCCCCCACGGACAGGAATCCAAATCTCTCAGGGACCTGGGCAGGTCAACGGACGAGTGTGGAACTGGCAACTAACTTAATACAGGAAGCAAACAGCCTTAGCCTCCACGGCCTTGATGATATTTATGCAAAAATGGTGTTGGTTTCACTTTCCTAAGTACTACAGCTTTATTTTGCTTTTTTTTTTTACTGGACTCGAGGCCTGTGCCCAGAGCCAGCACCTCCTCCCTGCCAGGCTGCTGCTTGGTCTGGGCAGAGGAGTTTGGGGACCGAAGACACCAGAGGTGGGACCACTCTGCTCCAGGCCTGCGAGGAATTGAAGCACTTTGGACAAGGGAATGGGAAGGCTTTGGCCACGGCAGTGCCCAGGGGGATGCAAACAGGAGCAGGACAGGATGGAAGCACTGGCTGGGAGGGACCAGGGCTTTGTCCCCTGATGGAGAGGCAAGAGGGGCTCGTGGCCAGTGCCAGCTCCAGCCACTCGCCACTGCCCATCCCAGCCATCCTGCAGCCACGCTGGCCACAGGGTGAGGGGGAGCCTGGCTGCCCCTTGAGCTGGTCTTCAGGCCCTGGGCTCTGGGGTGGAGCCTCGATTCTTTCTGTAAACTCGGGTCACATTTTGATTTCTTTTGATTGTAAAAAAAAAAAAAAAACCAAACCAACCAACAACGAACCAACAAACCCAACCAAACCAAACCAAAAGCAACCGACCCTCTGCCGCCGAGTAGCTGCTCAGAGCTCTGTACCTGGCTGGTAAAAATGATGACCTAAGCTCGTTGCCTCCTGTGCTTCCTGGCTTATGGCCACGGCACTGCCACGCATGGCAGGTCCCTTCTGGATGGTTCTGAGCTCCAGGGCGGGCACAGACCCCCATCGGGCTGGTTCCCAGTGCCCACTAAAGCTCAGGAGCAGGGCTGGCTGCCTGCTCAGCCACCTCCCCTGGACAGATAGGCACACCCGTGTGCAGTCAGCTTGACGTTTTATTGGGTTTATGACAGATGGATCCCGAGTCAGTGTTTAAGGCCCACACCCCCCACAGGCTTGGAACAGACCCACGGGTGCTCCCTGGACTCCTGGCCAAAGAGCAGCCCCAGTGGCCACAGCCCTGGTGGGCTGAGGGTGGAGCAGGAGGTGCCCAGGCAGGGCAGGGGACGGTCCTGCTGGGCTGTCCCAGCCCTGGTAGCAGCAACACAGGTTTGAGAAGCAGCTTTTCCCTTCTGCCCTCACTGCAGCACCCACACATGCCATCCCATTTGGGACCAGTGGGCAGGGAGTGCAGTCCATGGCACAACTGGGAGCGAGCCCATGGCCCCAGCGTGGAGCTGAAGGCCACGGGGATGAGTCACACAAGTCCTTTAGGTGGGATGCCACCTCCAGTCCCCAGTGCTGGCCCACAGATGAGGCCCAGGGGGATGTTGGAGGCTGCCAATTCAGTCCCAGAGCCTCCAGGTCCCGCAGGGCTGAGCCCCCAGCTCGGGGCACTGAGGGGGAGATGGCAGAGACCGAGGTGGTGGCGGGGGCCAGGCAGGAGGCACGAGCAGCAGCCCTGGCACTTGTTAGCTGATGGTTCCACCCTTGAGGCTTTTACAGGAGACTCTCCCCAGCTTGGTCAGGAAGTTCCTCTGCTTCCACTGCGCGACACAGTCCTCAGAGACACGGAAATCAGCCTGGGAGCAGAGCAGGGAGGCAGGATCAGCAGTGGGGCAGCAGTGCCCAGCTTTGCTGACAGTAACAACCGTGGGCACCGAGGGGCAAACAGCCAATCTGGGGTCACCCAGAGGCGGGGACACCCTAAGCACTGCCCCAGTCAATGCCTGGGGCCCTAGCCACACTGAGCTGTTCCCAGCCCCTCACCTGCAGCTTCTCAAAGACCTTCTTCTTGGGTTTGAGCTCCTCGTCGGGCTCCCCGCCCTCGTACCCCTCCACGTAGACGCGCTCCCCGGCACAGCACCCGGCTGGTGGGTCCAGGGGCTCCACCTGACGGGGCTCCCCCACACTGGAAGACAAAGCAGAGTCACCCCAAGGTGGTCCCCACCTGCCCCTCAGCACCCTGGGGCAGCAAAGGGCAGTCCAGAATGTCCCCTCTGGAGTGCCCCCACCCCGGTGCCCCCCTCCCTCCCTCCCTCACCTGGAGGCACACAGCACCATGCCCTGAGACTCCACTCCCCTCATCTTCTGGGGCTTGAGGTTGCAGAGCAGCACCACGAGCCTGTCCTGCAGCTGCTCCTTGGGGACGAACTGCACCAGGCCACTGACCACAGTGCGGGGCTCAGCCTCACCCACGTCGATCTTCTCCACGTACAGGCTGTCTGCGTCTGGGTGCTGCCAGGGGAGGGGCAGGGATGGGAATGGAGTGGCAGAGGAGGGGGCAGACCCCCCCAAACCCCCCCAAGTGTCCATGTGGGGTGGTTACTCTCCCCCACTGCCCCGCTGTACCTTTTCCACGCTGATCACTTTGCCCACGCGGATGTCCAGCCGGGATGGGATCACTTCCTCTGGCTCCGAGTTCTTGGTGCCCTTCTCTCCAGGCTCTGCAGGGCAAAGGGAATGGTCACATCATTCAGCATAAACTCAGGGAGCTGGCCAAGCCCTGGGGAGCACAGTCACTCCCAAATGCAGGCCCTGGGGGGAATACCCTGCAGGGAATTCCCTGACCGGGGAGCACAGCCCCTCCTCTGCGCTGTCGCCCTCTCAAGCACCAGAGCAGCATCTCCAGAGCAGGCAAACAGCCCTGGCATTGGCCTTCCTCACCTCTCCCAGTGTTCTCCAGGGCTGTTTCTGAGACTGAAGTTTCAGAACTTCTCTCTAACCTCAGCCCCTGGAGAGACTCTCTCCCACCCAGTCCCATGTGGTCAGGGCTCCGCTTCCCTGAGGTCCCAGGGCCCCACTTCCCTCAGCTCCCAGCACCTCCTTACTGGCTTTGGACGGGTTGGGATATGCAGCACTGCTCAGCTTCTTCAGCTCTGGGTTGTTGAACTTCTCTCTGATGGGGTCAAGCAGTTTGTTCAGGGCCACTTCCACCGAGTTCTTCAGGTCTCCGGGGTGCACGACCTGTACGTGACAAACAGGTTCCTGTCTGAGGCCCAGGGTGGGAACTGGAGGAACTGGAGATGAACCCCAACCCTCGGCCTGGTTCCCCTCGGACAACAGAGCCCTTCTTTTGGACACTGAGGTTTCCATCTGGGAACAGCTGAGAAGGGTTTAACTGCTGCTCTGTTCCAGGATGAGTCTGATGCGGCCCTGTCCTGCACCAGGACAGCTGGTGACCCCACATCCTTCACCCATCCTCTCCTGGTTGGGAGCACCCCATCACTGGGCCACACTCCACACCTCTTCCCAGTGTGGATCTCCATCTCCCAGTGCTGCTCCATCCCAGACTGCTCCCAGGAGCATCAGGCACAAGGAGAAGGTTCAGCCCCTCCCAGCACTCACCTGCTCAGCAAAGTCCTTCTCCAGGGCCTCATAATCCGTGTAGGTTTTGTTTCCTCCCCATTTTTCTTCTCGCAGCACCACAAACTCTGCGACACACAGATTTTAAGGCTCAGATTAACTCAAGGCTCAGACAAAACCACCTGCCCCACCCTGTCCAGGGTGGGGACCACAGGCTGGGGAGGTGGCACTCAGGGGACACACTCCTGTCCCCTCTTCTTATCCACAGGGAAAACACCCCCAAGTGTGGTGAGCCCTCACCTGACTTGAGGGGGAAGAGGACGTGCTTGATGAAGGAGAGGACACCGTTGTTCTCCACGTTCCCTGGCTCACAGAAAGCCTTCTTCAGCTTCTTCTTCACATCCTCCTTGCGGTCCAGAAGATCAATCTTGGAGTCCTGCAGCAAGAGATTTCCTCAGCCCCTTCACCCAATGTTTTGCCCAAAAGAGAAAACTCACAAGAGAGTTGCTACAACTCCCTAGAACCCCATGTGAGCAGAGAGAGGTCACCTTGCCTTGGGGTGCAGCCTCTCCACCCCCAGCCATCAACCTGCCCCTCTACACCCCCCTGGCACAGCCAGATCAGGCACCAACCTCCTCTGACGAGCTCATTTTGCTGCCTGTCAGCCCAGGAACCATCGGGTTCATCAGATGGACACGCTTGGCATAGCCCAAGGAAGGGAGGTACTGGGAAAAGGCAAGAAAGAGGCAAGTCAGAGACAATGCTCATCCAAAGATCATCTTTCAGTCACAATCCCTGCTTGTTCCTGGCTCCAGATGACTTTGGAATCCAGAATAACAGGACCCAGAGAGCCATTGTGAGCTCCCAGGGTATCAGAGCACGGCAGCACAGAGCACTGTGGTGCCAACCAAAACCCCACACATCCTTCTCCCAATGGATCAGCAAGTGTCCAAGCCCTCCCTCAAGCCCCAGGACGGCAGAAACCCCCCCATTCCTGACCTTCTCTGCGAAGGTGAAGATCTTCCTCTGGTCAACCCCTCCAAACTGTGCGTCCACCTTGAGATATTCCTCGTCCAGCGCCTGTGGGGACACACAGAGCCCTGAGGCTGGGCCCAAAACACCCCACTCCAGCTCTGCTCAGCCTTCAGACGTCCTGCCTGTCCCTCAGCCTCTCCCAGGGCACTCCCACCCTGGGAAAGGACAGGAATATTCTGGACTGTCTGCTGCAGCAGCAACTTTGTGCCGCTGCCGGGTGGGATGTTGGGCTGGAGAACAACGACCTGGACACCCAGCCCCTCACACCCCTGCGGTCCTGGCTTTGCCAGCACCTCCCTGGGCAGCCCCTGCCTCACCTGCAGGCCTGGGTAGAGCAAACCACTCAGCAAGGGGTGCTCCACCTGCTTCACCACCTCCGCCCCTGCCTTCTTGGCGTCGTGCTGCGTCACCACCGAGGACAGGCGGTACACGTCCAGCGTGTATTCCCTGTGGGAAGGGCACCACTGAGCCCACCTGGCATGGGGAGCATCCCACAGCAGCTGGCCCTGGCCTCACTGAGAGCAGACAAAGCCTGGAGGCACCTTCACTTTGCCCCAGGAGCAGGGTCAGGAGAAGGGCAGGCTCAGGAGCAGCAGAGCCCCAGGTCGGGCTCTGCCGGCCCAGGTGCCCCAGGACTCACATGGGGACACCCCAGAGTGGCTGGTTTTGGCCTCACTGAGAGGAAACAAACCCTGGAGGCACCTGGTGTCCCAGGAGCAGGGGCAGGAGCGGGGCAGGGTCAGGAGAAGACCGTGCTCTGCCAGCCCAGGTGCCCCAGGACTCACTTGCTGAGCTGGTAGTCAGTGCCTCGGACGAACTTGAGCCTGTCCAAGGGCACCCCGATGCTCTCCAGCATGGCCTTGATCACGTGCTCGTAGTAGCGGGTGCGCAGCTCCAGCAGCTCCCAGGGGGCCTTCATGTTGTCCAGGTAAGCGTGGAGGTCAGCAAAGAGGATTGTCACCTGGCACAGAAGGCACAAGTCACTGCCAGGAGTCCAGGGAACCATCCCCCCCCAGGGGTGTGGGGTCCCGGTGTGACCCCATTACCTCACACCCAGCCTTCAGGAAATCCGCAATCTTGGACATGGGCACGAAATAGGCCACGTGGGGCTTGCCCGTGGTGGCTGTGCCCCAGTAGATCCTCAGCTCCCGCTCCTTCAGGATGGCCATGAGCTTATCCTCGCCCAGCACCTCCTAGAGGGGGGCACAAAACATGCACATCTGGCACAGCTGGGGAGGGCAGGACAGTCCTGCGGGTGGGCGGGCTGGGCACACCGCATCTCCTGGGGGCGCTGCTGGTGCCAGGGGCTCATCCCCGGGGCTACACCCGGCTCTGATCCCCCTACACCCCTTTGCCCAGGCCCCGATCCAGCTCTGATCCCCCCTGATCCCCCCACTCCGGATCCGATCCTGCCCCCGCTCCAACCACGGTCCCCCCGGTATCTGGACCCGATCCTGCCCAGATCCCTCCTCTCCAACTCCTATTCCTGCCCTAATCCCCCCCCCGATCCACCCCATGATCCTTCCCCCAACCCTGCCCCGATCCCCCCAATCCTGCCCCGATTCCCCCGCCCCGGTTTGCCCTGCTCCCGATCCTGCCCTAATACCCCTGTCCGGGCCTCGATCCTGCCCTATTCCCCCCGATCCTGCCCTATTCCCCCCGATCCTGCCCTATTCCCCCGGATCGTGCCCCGATCCCCTCTCCCCGTTCCCCACCCATCCCCCGGTACCTGCAGGTTCCGCGTGATGAGCTGATACTTCTCCTGCGGGCCGGGCGCGGGCTCCATGGCGGCGGCTGCGGGGACAGGAACAAGGCGTTACCGGAGCCCCCACCACCCCAGGACTCTCCAAGACCCCCCGAAATCCCCCCCGTTCTCCCCCTTTTCCCCTCCCCGTCCCCACCGACCTGCCCCGGGTTGCATCAGCCCCGCTCGGCGCTCGGCTACCGGCGCCTGGGCGGCACGATCGCCGAGCTGCCGATGGGGAGGTGAACGGCGGGGAGGGGGCCGCGCTGCGCCAATCAGAGCGCGCCTCGCGCGGGGGGGTTGCAGCTCTCCGCCAATCAGAGAGCTCCTCGCGCGCGCAGGGGCGTGGCCTCGGCACCCTTAAGATGGCGGCGGGTGAGGGCCGGCCCGTGGCCGCTGCTCGGGCTCCTTTATCTCGTTTGTCTCGTTCATTTGGGGTGCTTTACCCCCTTCCCCGGCGCTCGGGGAGCGGCCGGTGCCCCGGCGGGCCGCGAGGAGGAGCGAAGGGGGTGGGCTCGCCCCCAAAGCCCCGCCTTGGGGCGGTGCCGTTGAGGCGCCGGTTGGGCGGTGCCCCCTTAGGGAGGGACAAGGGGCCGCTGGGCTCCGTGAGGAAGAGGAGTGGTTGCTGCTGGTGTCAGTGCCTTCGAGAAGGAAAGGCTCCAGGGCGACCTTACTGCAGGTTTTTAAGTGCCTGAAGGGACTCCAGGAGAGGGACTTTGGACAAGGGATGGAGCGACGGGACACAGGGAATGGCTTCCCACTGCCAGAGGGCAGGGATGGATGGGTTATTGGGAAAAAACTCCTCCCTGTGAGGGTGGGGAGGCCCTGACACAGGTTGCCCAGAGAAGCTGTGGCTGCCCCATCCCTGGAAGTGTCTAAGTCCAGGTTGGAGCAGTCTGGGGTAGTGGGAGGTGTCCCTGCCCATGGCAGGGGGTGGGCTGGATCATCTCTAAGTTCCCTCCCAACCCAATCTGGGATTTTGCCTTTTCAGAGAAGATAATCTCACATGGTGGACAAATCACAAGCAGCCTGGTTTTATATCAATTTAAGAACATTTAAGCTGTTACAGGCCATTTCCACAGAGTAAATCCTTGCACAGCCCCTGAATTCCACACACTGCTGTGGGAATGGCTTGGGAATCATCAATCACACAAGTTACCCAAGTCCTGCTTCCAGAGTCCCTGATGTAGGGCTGGAAGTACAGACCCAGCCCAGGATGGGGTGGAGTAAATTGGGAAGGTCCCACAGCAAAGAATCCATTTCCTTGTCAGCAGTGGAAACGTCTCCAAATGGGTTTCTTGGGAGACTCTTCCAACAAAGAGGCTTGAAAGAGTCGGTTCTTTCAAGTTCATTGGTTGGATTGGATTCAAACTGAGAGAGGGCAGGTTTAGATGGGATATATGGGGAAAAAATTCCTCCCTGGGAGGGTGGGGAGGCCCTGGCACAGGTTGCCCAGAGAAGCTGTGGCTGCCCCATCCCTGGAAGTGTCCCAGGCCAGGTTGGAGCAACCTGGGATAGTGGGAGGTGCCCCTGCCCATGGCAGGAGGTGCAACTGGATGATCCTTAAGGTCCTTTCCAACCCAAACCATCTCATGATTCTGTGATTAGGAGCTGCATTATCAGACTGCCACACCCCATAGGACCAAATCCATGTTTAATTTGGTTTTATTTATGTTTTTCTTGGAGCACTGGGAGGTAAATTGTAGAGCTCCAGGCAAGCACTGGGACTGCTCCTGACTCCACGTGTTCCTGTGGGGGGTTTGTACACACACAGCTCATTCCCCAGGTATTTTTTTTTTCCTGCAGCATCCTTCTGAAAGTGCCCATGTTTATTATTCTGAAAGTGCCCATGTTTATTATTTAGGCAGAATGACAAGAGGAAGCAGCAGAAATTCCCAGGTTTTATCCCTGCAGTTGCACAACCCCCTCCCTTTTTTTTAAGCAGTAGGTAGTCAAAGCAACAGGAAGACAAAAAGACATTCCTTTAAATCCTTGGTCAAAGAGGACAGGAAATACCTTTCCTTGGTCCAAATTCTCCTACTGGCTGAGAGTCAAGTGCAGGGCTTTCAGGTCCAAAGATTCCTGTTGGGGAGAGTCCTCACTCCAGGAAAAAGAGGGTTTGTTTGTGAATACTTGGAAAGGATTGAATTTTACGGGAAGGTTCTTTATCTGGTGATCTTGGATTGTAATGTGTGTTTTGTGTGAGTGTCTCAGTGACTAATCCCCTCCTGAATGACCCCTCTGCTCCCTGACCGGGTTACTCTTCCCTTGCTCAGTTTTTTCCTAACCCAAAAAAAGACTTTTTATGTGTTTATTTGTGTCTTTGCAGGGTGGGGGCTGAGACACTGGGAGCTTTTATTTAATACCTGAAGCGTGCTCTGTGATCTGGGGTTGTGAGCTGTGATTCCTGGGGTCTGGTGTGAGTGATTTGCAGCAGTTTTGGAGGGGGTGGCACAGAGATGTTGGTTGTTGGGGTTTGTGTTAGTCCTGCTTGATAAAACCCCGTGTGAGAGAAAACTCAGGAAAGAGGGATTGGTGGTTGTTGTGTGTTAGGACCCAAAAGAGTCAGGAATAGAGATGGTGCCTCAGCCAGTGTTTTCACCTTCCCTGTTACATCCCAGCCCCTTTGGAAAGCAGCTGAGTTCGTTTTATTGAAGGTGTTGGTTTTGCTGGCAGGTTGGAGCCGAGTCCTGCTGATTCCTCCTCTGAAGGGGCTGCTCAGAGGGCACCAGGAGCAGATGAACCTCAGAAGAGGCCTCTAGAGCTGGAAGCAGAGATCCAGGCAGCGACAGCGACATGGGAGACAGTTCCCCTCATTCCCCTGGGCTCTGCCTGTGTCGGGAATTCAAACAGGACACAGTTCCCAGGGCCAAGAGGTTGTTGGATTCCTCAGCGCAGCTCCAGGCCCTGCAGTCAGCCAAGAGGGTTCGTGTGTTGAGTCATGTCTGCAGCACTCCAAAGCCATCAGAGAACCTGCTGCTCCTCTCCCCAGGTTCTCCCTGCTCCCATTTTCTGGATGACAGTGGCCAGGGCGACCTTGCTGCCAGTTTTTGTGGGTCCAACTACAACGATGTGGCCGTTTCCCTGGACACCAGCAGGTGCTTCGATGACACTGAGCTGGATGACTCCCTGCTGGAACTGTCAGGCAGTGAGAAAGGGAACTCTCCTTTCGATTACACCGAGGAGGAGATCCAGGAAATCTTGGCAGATGATTGCATGGAAGCTGAGGAGCACCTGATTAGAAAAAGCCATCTGAGCCAAAGTGTAAATGAGGAGAGCGGACAGGCCGGGAGCAGCAGCTGCAGCGGGGCCTCAGTCAGTGAAGATGCCTCAGAGATTGCAGAGGAACCAGAGGCACCTCTGCCCCAGGAGCATTCCCCAGTCAGTTCTGGGTGTTATCCTGGCTTTTTGAGTGGAAGTGCTGGTTTGGGTGGGATCCACCTGCAGCAGGACCTTGACCTGCAGGATCTCCTGCGTCTCAGCCCCTTTGCTGTCAGCGGTTCCGATGAGCCCGTGGAGGGCAATTATCTGGTGGAGATGGAAAGAGAAGCTCTAGAAGCAATGATAGATGATTGTTTAGGATATGCTACAACTGCTGGTAGCTGCATTCTGGAAGAATCCTTGGAGCCTAAAGGCCAGGAAAGCCTGGCTTTGGATTGCCTGGGAAGAGCCGTGCCCTTGTTTCACCTTGGTGATGAGAGCCCAGCACCTGGGTCTGGAAACAAAGAACTTCCCAAAGCAACAGCAAGCTTGTTTTCAAGGAAATCAGACTCTCCAGAGGATGGTGAAGGGGAATCTCCAGGAGCTGAGCAGCCATCAGGCGACATTAAAGTAAACTCACATCTTAATTCTTGTAGCTAAAATGTTTTTAATTCCATTCCTTTGGGTTTGTGCTTGTGGTGATGTCCATAGGCACACAAGTGCTGTGTTTGTACAGGGGAGGATTTTTCAAGTGGAGCAAAGTGTGATTTTTATGTAACAGTACAAGCAGAACTTGCATGGAATGATTTTATTTTGCATGTTAATCCCTTTTTTCCTTACCTTTCCAGTTAAGTGACACAACCATAGTCCAGACCGTGCAGGAAGAGACAACCAGTGGGAAGAAACCTGGCAAAGTTATTGTTGGCCCACAGGAGAAGGAGAAAAGGTAATTTCTTAGCAAGTTTGCACTTTGAGAAACATCCTAATTATTTCCTCAACCAATTTGTTGGTTGTGTGCTGCTGGGTTTTATCCTTGTCATTTAATTACCGTGCACTGAATTAGGGGGAAAAGCACTTAATAATTTACTCTGGAAGACGGGGAAGAATATCGGGATGGTCCAAAAGGGAAAGGAGGTGGTTAAGCCAGTTTGGGGCAGTGGTTTGAAGGCAGAACCGGGGATGTTTGTGCTGTTGTGGCTCCTCCCCGAGCGCTTTTCCTGCAGATGGCAGCAGCGGAGCGGGTCGGCATGGTTCCTCCTGCTCTCCCCTGCTCCTGGAGGTGCCACTTCGGGGGTTTTCCCCCCGCAGACCTGCTGCTCTCAGGTGTTCCGTGCGTTGCTGTTCCTGGCACGGCCCTGGGTGATGAGAAAGATCTGCTTTTGAGGGCTCTCTGCGGGTTCCTGGCGAGGTAACCAGGGCAGTGACCTGCCAGGTCACTCAGCTGACCCTCCTGCTTTGCTCTTGGGTGTTTTATCTTTGCAGCTTTAGTCAAACAAACACTTTCATTTTTTTCAATCACAGAACAGGGCTGCAAAGAGGTCATGTCTGTAATAGTTGTGCAGGGCACTATGCCCTCTCTGTCTTCTGCAACCTAATTTGACAAATAGTCTTAAAAAACCCCCCCTAACACTATTTATTATTTAAAGACTGAAACAACGGCCCTGCATTTCAGAAGTGAAAGTTGAGCAAAAGAAACGTTTCTATCCAGAGTGTGCACACCCACATGATGAAAAGGGTGCCCCCTATATCAGGTAAGCCCTCAGGTGGGATGGGGTGAGGCTGGTGGGGAGGGAAAAATTGGTGTCCTGGCAGGAGGCCTGGCTGGCTGGACTCGTGTTCTTTGATGTTTTTAATGTATTTGTTTTCAGAGGGGGATAAAAATTGCCTGTTACACTTGTTCCATCACCACCAGGCACACAGTTCCTGTACAGGACTCAGTCTTGCTCCAGGGCTGGTTCAGATGAGTTTCAGGGTTG